TTTCTTTGAGAACAGCGCAGAGACTCCTGCCCCTGTGCCTGGCTATCCTCACCAGGGCCCCTTGGAGGGGAGTGGGTTGAGTTTCCCTCCCCGCCCCGACCAGGGCTCTGGCAGCCAAAGACCTCCAGAACTAGCCACCACCATGCTGAGACCACTCTCCACATGCACGAAGGTACCGGCAGAGGAACAAAGGCATGCAGGTCCCGGGATTAAGATCCCCAAGCCTGCTCGGATCGGGGCTGAGCATCCTCCACCCAGATCCTCCAAATTCCAGTAGGCAGGGGTCACACCCACCAACTGGCCCCTGGTGCCCTGTAATCCCATCAGCAGCCAAGACCCAGAGACTATAAAACCCAGTTCCCGGAGCTCATTCGTGGCCACGCGACACCTTATTATCTCATTCTTACTTCAGACAAAATGGCAGGCTTCCTAATGTAACCTGCCCACACGGCAGAGTCTGGCAAACTCTCCGTGAAGTACCCAATGTGCCAAATATCAGTAACAATGATGGGTCTCATTCTCCTAACACTGGAAGAACCTTTAATATGGCACTTTATAAAAAATCTCGGGGCTAGGACGAAGGAGACATTACTGGGGCCTGCTCGAGGCAATCGACGAATAACAGGATGGTCGTGATCGTGTAGTTTCTTTGAAAAAAAAAGATATATATTATACTTCGCCAGATGGAATTTAAATATGTAAACCACTAAATTGGTCTTGAGATTGGAAAAATGAGAGGACAATACGTAAGAGAACAATAAGACTTCCTGACAAATATTAAAATTTCAAAGGTAAGGTAAAGGTAAAGGCCTTCCCGTTGTTCATCGATTTGCTCGAGCAGGCCCAGTAACATCTCCATTGGAGACTTTGTTGTTACTGTGTTTGGCATATCAAATACATCACGGATAGCTTGCCAGGCTCTGTCGTGCGGGCGAGATACTCTCAGTAGCTTGCCGGGCTCTCCGAGAGGGGCGGAGGAATCGAACTCGGGTCGGCCATGTTGGCTGTGTGCAAGGCAAACGCCCTACCGCTGTGCTATAGCTCCAGCCCTAAAATTTCAAAACAGGCTGTTTTAAACAATAATCTGAACTTCTCAGTTTTTATTTCTTCTTTTCTTTTTACTTCTTTAGCTTAATTAGTTTTGGACCACATCAGTGGTGCTCAGATACTATTCCTGGCACAAAGTCTGGGGATTGCCCCTGGCCGTGCTCAGGAGACCACGTGGTGTTAAGGACTGAACCCAAGGCTCCAACATGCATTGCATGTTCTCCAATCTTTTGAGCTATTTCCCCAGTCCAATCTATACTTCTAATAGCATAGTTTAATAATTAGGGTTCTAAATGAAGAATGATATGCATTTAGAAGACTTTTGAGAAGACTTGACTACTAAAGAAACCTAAGATTTGGCTACTAAAAAACCTTAATCCAAAGTGAGAAATTAAGCCATGAAAGGTGTGGTAAAGAGCTTCTGGTGACAGTTCTTAGATACTTTTAATGTATGGCATCAATTTTCCTTCCCTTAAATATGAAACAATATTCTAAGAAATTTCATAAATAATGACTGTAATCATTTACTTGTGCTGTTACCTTATATATCTGGGAAGGGTGTATTAGGTTCGTAAAATTTTTTTGCCATGTAATCTCCCAGGAGATTACAGGAACTCTGTGTTAGCTCTTGGAATTACTTGTGAAACCTGACCTTGACTACCTTCTTTGTACTTCACTTCTCCCCGTTTCTCTGGACACACGTACCAAGCAAGTTCCTATTTCTGAGCATTTCTCTTGCCACTCTGCTTGGAATGATCTTTTCCCAGAACCTTATCAATTGCAACTGTAAATTATATGCCACTTTACACTTGCAAAAACAACATTTGATGTTTTATTGAGGACAGGTATTAAGTCACTAGAAATATAGTGGTAAACAAGATATTATTCCCTTGGTAAAGAGGGCACATGTTAATGGTAATTACTGAACAAATTAGCCTGAGAATAAGATACATAATAAACTATAATGAAGTTCTGTAAGAAAAGAAAGGCAAATAGTGAGTAACAATTATAGGGGGGAGGTTTTGAGAAATCAACATATGCTATGTGAAAATACAGCATTAACATTTGAATGGGGTTTTTGGGGGTGGAGAATGGGCACTGGTGAAGGTACGGGTGTTTCATTGTATGACCTAGACTTAGACCTGAAAGCTTTGTAACTGCTCTCATGGTGATACAATAAATAAAATTATAAAAATGAAAAAAAAAGATTAGAATTTGAGGGTGTTACTTAGATTTATAGTGGTGACGGGAATGGGATGAAAGGAGGGAAGGGAAGGAAAGGAAAGTCAAGTGGGAAGAGCAGCTAGTATGAAGTCTCTCCAATTCAACAAGAAAACTGAAGAATTAGCGTGACTAAAATAATGTGAATTATTCAGATTCTCAAAAATACAGAGAACAGTCCCTATTTGGCAGACTAATCCAAACCATATAAGGTCAAACTCCTGACGATGGCTATTTATAATGTACTACTCTATATATTTTTGGTGGCTAGAGCGGTTTTATCAGATGTCTGAGGCTTCTTTTACAAAATCCCCATGAATTCACTTGATTTACTAATCTAAAAGGCAATTAACTAAACACCTGCAGTACGTAAAGTCCAACACTCTACTGATAGCATTTAGCAATAACCCACTGGTCTGAAGAAAGTCTGAGCATTTACAAACAATTATGGGTCACATTTTTCATGATAGCACTGTAGCACTGTACTCTGTTGTTAATTGATTTGTTCGAGCGGGCACCAGTAACGTCTCACAACAAATTGTGAGACTTGTTCTTACTGTTTTTGGCATATCGAATATGTCACTGGTAGCTCGCCAGCTTTGTCGTGCAGGTGAGATACTCTCAGTAGCTTGCTGGGCTCTCTGAGAGGGGTGAAAGAATCGAACCCGGGTCGGCTGCACACAAGGCAAACGCCCTACCTTCTGTACTATCGCTCCAGCCCCACCAAGACACATCATTGTTAAATTATAAGATGTCAATTACAATGAAAAATAGTAAAGGTTGCTAGCGGAAAAAAACTGTATGATATATACAACAGTTCCACAATCAAGCTACTATCTGATTTTTCAGAAGAAATCTGTTGGTATATACTCAAGTGGATATATACTCAAAAGTTTGAAGGATTAAATATTTTTCATAAATGTGCACATATATGTGTATATATAAACAATATATAAATTATATATTAACAGTTTGTATTCAACTGCCTTGGGTTCAGGTAGGAAGAATAAATTTATCCATAAATGGTTCTCATAAATTTGTAATTTGGACTGAAGGTCAGTTTCTGAGTCTTTCACTCTTAGATTGAATCTTGGCTCAGTTTCCAGACGTTAGCAACAGCACTCTTATTCTTGAGCCTCAGTTTACTACTTCCTAAACTGCAGATCATGGGGGAAAAAATCTTACCTGACAAAAAGCTCTCTGAGAGAAAAAAAGGTTAATAAAGAATATATAGTAAACTCAGGCCTCTGTTTGAGATATACTATGAAGTAAATAAATGATAACTATCATATTCTAAACATTGAACCAGAAGAATATTTCCTTTTATACTTGTGACTTTCAGTTTGATGGCATTTACCTGAGTCCAGCCATTACTGGTTGATTTTGTTACTAATAAAATGGTAATTTGTTGGACCAGGGACTAGGCAGCTGTGCTGTTCAAAGTTCCCTGGATGACTGTAATGTGCAGTGATGTTTGCAACCACTGACCTAGAGGCTGTTTGAAAAGGATGACAATTTCTCTGCTCCCCTCTGCACCTGCCCTCCCGCAGCTAAGAATTCAAGTAGGTGGTGAAATCGCCAAAGGGAAGGTCAAAGAAAGTAGATGCCTGAGGGTTAAGAAAGCTGCATAGATGTGTTCCCAGGGCCCAGTTTGCCCTACATTTCCTAGCCATTGTTGTTAGTTTCTAACTTACTATAAAGATTCCATTTTTCTTATTCCAAGGATTCTAGTTTATACTCTCTTTGCAGGACCCAGTGACACCAAGAGCTAAAATTACCTTTTCATGTCATTAATAGAAATGTCTTTGCCTCATAAAATGTTAGTATATTTAATAGTCACCTAGCGGCTTGAAAAGTCTCTGTATTTGTGAAAGTGCATGACAGACTTGAATTGCACCATTATCATGTTTTTTCAAAAACGGTCCCATTCCCTCCACTGTTTCTAGAAAAATATTCCTAAACTATCTCTTGATTGACATTCTCCAGTACTTAAATTTTCCAGGACTCCTTTGACTACAATGGCCTCGAATCCTTGAAAATACCTTTGATGACTGGTCGGCCTGAATGCTCAATAATTTCTAGACCTGTCAAATTTTTCCTCCAGTACAAGTCCCAAGTTTTAGCCCAATCATCAATTTACTGTTTTCTGAACACACTATGTGCTTTTTGCCCTTTACGCTGGTAGCTCACAAACTTTCACATGCATCCAAATGACCTGAGAATCATGTTAAAATGCATTCTGTAATTTGGGGGGCTACATAGGAGATGCTCAGGAGCTATTACTGTCTCAGTGCTCAGGAATGAACCCTGGCAGTGCTGGAGCATAAGGATGTGGCGGCAAGGATTTGAATTAATGTTGGTAGGTTGGTGTGGCAAGCACCTTAATCCCTGTACGCTCTTTCCAGTCTGTGAGGTGTGTATTTATTAGTGTTCAATTGCTAAGGGCAGGAGTGACATAGGCACATATGCTAATGAAATCTAGTTTGATAAAATGAGCTGGAATGAGTGTTGTGATCACTTTCCTATTTATTCAATGTTTATGTGACAGAGGGATTCACTATGACATAAAAAAATTAATTTGCTTTCTTTCTCTCAAGGTACATCCCCCAACTCCCTATTTCAGGATAGCATGACCTTGTTCGTCTCCTCATCTCAGGAAAGATTTATGGTTTGGAGCCAAAGAAAGGTTGTTTAAAAGAAAAATGCTGGTTTAATTTTTGTTTTCCTGACAGCTATGTCACTGAGAAGAATTGTGCTGGATCTTTGGGGAAGAGAAGACAGTATGGCTCTTTGAGAAATGGCAGTGAGAAGAATCCCCACGTGAGATGGAGATGGAGTCCTGAGGAGGTCACAAGCCCAAGGAGATGACTTGACTGTGTGATACATCAAAGGTGCTGGAACTCTAGCAATGGAAGTACCAACCTTGCCAGAAATGCAAACACCCAAAACTTGGAACATAAACTAAAAAATACTGGCTACCAGGGGAGGGAAGCTGCTTCCATCCCATACTGAAATGAATTCAGAACTTTTGTATCAACAGTTCCAAGTTGGAATTAAAACAATTGTGGATCTTCTGAAAATGATTTATAAGGAATAAATGGATATTTTTTGAGAGTTGAATGTTTGAACTAAGATTTAAACGTGCTATACTTATTTTCCATCCAGCTTTTCCTAAAGTGTTCCTTGATGTATTTATTACAGGGCATGACTTAAAGTTTTGCATTTGAATTTGGTCTAATTACTCATTAGAGGGCTGGAGCGATAGCACAGCGGGTAGGGCGTCTGCCTTGCACGCAGCCAACATGGCCGACCCGAGTTCGATTCCTCTGCCCCTCTCGGAGAGCCCGGCAAGCTACCGAGAGTATTCGATATGCCAGACACAGTAACAACAAAGTCTCCAATGGAGACGTTACTGGGCCCGCTCGAGCAAATCGACGATCAACGGGAGGGCCTTTACCTTTACCTTTACCTTACTCATTAGAGGGGCTGGAGCGATAGCACAGTGGGTAGGGCATTTGCCTTGCATCCGGCTGACCCAGGTTCGATTCCTCCGTCCCTCTCAGAGAGTCTGGCAAGCTCTTGAGAGTATCTCACCCGCACGGCAAAGCCTGGCAAGCTACACATGACGTATTTGATATGCCAAAAACAATAACAACAAGTCTCACAATTTGTTGTGAGACTTTACTGGTGCCTGCTCGAGCAAACTGATGAACAACGGGAGGACAGTGCTACAGTGCTACTCATTAGAGATTTATGTGCATCTGAGTTCCTGCTTGTAAATTAGTGGTTCTCAAAACTTTATCCACTGGGCAGTAGAGAGAGGAGTAAATGTAAAGTTTTTGGGAAGTAGTGTTTGAGCAGTAAAAGTTTTTTATTCTTACACTTTTTAACCCTCTACTACCATTCATGGTAGTTACCATGAATACTTCTACTATAATCAAAATAGCATTTTATTCTCACAGCTTGACATTCTCAAAATTCTGAAAGCTTGTGTGCACATCATTTATGTGAATATTATTCAAAATCGTTCTGCATAGCAACTGGGCACCAAATAATAAACTTCTGATCATTATGATGACTGAATTTATTACTTACTCTGATTGTTATTTTTCCAAACCATCTTGTAAATAGCTACTAAGCAAAAACTTGGGAACTGGTTGTTTTAAAATAATGAACTGTGGTACTTTAGAAAAAATTTAGGGGATATAAATTTTAGATACATTTTGGCAATGTGGGGTTAGAAAAAGTATCATTTTGGGCGGGGGAGTATACAGGTGCCGCTCAGGACTTACTCCTAGCTTACTCCCCAGGCTCAGGGGAACATCTAGGGTTCTGGGAATCAAACACAGGCCACTATGTGTAAGGCAAATGCCCTATCTACTATACTATTGTTCTGGCCCACATTTTATTCTATATTGCCTCTGTATAGTTTCCAGATTATTCACATTCAAAAGCAGTCTATGTTTTATTGTTTACTAAACGTTAGGGTACATATAATTCAGGAAAACAGAATGGAGGAAGCAGACTGATTAAAAAGGATTTTTCTAATTCATTTTATACAAGTATTTGTGCAAAGTTTTTGAACCTGAGATATCAAAGAAGATATAATTTGGCTATTGGTATAATTAATGGTTCACATTTTTAAGAGTAATACCCTGATGTTTATATAAGCAAAATATAACCATCATTTCCTTAGGATTCAGTTAGTGAAGGGGTTAAGTCTTATCCTAGCAACAGAAACTTTACAGCTGCTGTCAGAAATACAGTAATTACTCTGGTCAATATTTCTCCAAGAAACTCCAGCTGTCTTATCAAGCTCGCTTTGTCAAAAAGATTCCTTTCCTGTTAGGGGCATGAATTGTAGAATAACCATGATGGTGCCCATAAAAGAACTGAAAAAACTAATCCAAAGTCCTAGTGTGGATTTTGTATTTGCTTGAATTTGATATTCTGATAAAATCTACTGTGCTTTTATAAAACTTTCTACTATTTTTGAGGCTGAATAGCATAAATTCTTAACATCTTTGTTTCTTTCAAAGAAAATCCACAGGAAATCAACACTAAAAGGGTCATCAGGACAAATCTCTGTCTATCCCCAAATGAACAAGAGTAGCAGCAGTGTCTTGAGAGGCTGTGTGAGCTCAGGCTTTTCCACTCACCACCCTGTTTTACAAGTCAGGAATGAGTCACTTTCTAAGTGTAACTCTCCAGGCAAATTTTCATAATTGATGGAGTTAGGCTCATTCAGGGATGGCTTTTAGATCACCCAATAACTCATTCTATCATTTCTCTCATGTGCATAGACTTAAAAAGAGGAACCAGGGACCAATGAACTTTCAGTCAGCTGACAATGCTAAGCAAAGAAAAGAAATGTAAAGGGTTTATAGCAATGAATCTGACTAAAGTACACTTAGAGTACAAATCCCATATTAAAGGATTTAGCAGTGGAGTGTTTCAGTAAAGACTAGCCCTAATTCCCATTCTTGCAATTTTATCTTATAATCTGAGCTCCCTAACTGCAGTGCCCTCCAAGCATCCATAGTGCTTTACGTTCTTTCAACTTCACCTCATACCATATTCCATACTATATATTTTAGACTCCTAGGACCCTTTCACACTCTAAAAAAAGCCAATCTTGTTCAGAACTTAAGGGGCTCACATGACACTGGCTATTTCCTTTACCTCTGTTGCCAAACAGCTTCAATACCTCACCCTCTAAGAGGTCTCCCAGGACACAGAGCTTACTATATAACTTATTGCTATATCACCTCATCACTTGCTCGTTATCTCATGCAGTATCTGATCATTTCCTCCACTTGTAAACTACAAAGAAGCAAGGTGTGGGTTGGTTTTGTTTATGCTACATCATCACAATGATGACTGGTGTACAAGACTTATCAATTAAAATTTGTGAAGATTGAAGGAGTAGTGAGTTTAAAAGCAAGGTATTTACCCTTTGGGGATTTTTACTGAAGGGATTCTTAAACTAAAATCTGTAGATATAAATATATTTTTGTGAATAACACTGTTTCTTTTCCCCTGGAAAATTGTTTATTAGCTAGCACACTCTCAAAGGAATCTCTGACCTACTGTCACAGGTCTCAAGATGGGCTTCACAGAAGTGGTTCTGAGATGGGGATTCATCAAAAAGGAAGGCATTGGGAAGAGTTCCAAGAAAAACAATTTTGTGAATTTGGGATAAGAGTGGGAGTGAAGGAAAGCTAAGCAAAGGTTAAGTAGCAAACTGGGCCAGGCCCTGCTGGGAGCTAATGGTTCGATTTTCAGAGGGAGCTTGGACACCAAGGAGTAAACCTCATTCAGAGAACGGGACATCCAGTGGCCTACGAATCTGGGACATCCAGACCCTTATGTCTTCAATCACTGGCTCACAGTCTCCTGAAGTGGGGATGTGGAAGTGAGGATGGAAGTATATGGGTGCAGGGTGCAGGGTTGTAACTGAACTTTCATAACAGGTAAAACTTCTAAGAACTCTGAAGGTAAATCTTACAATGAAAGAAGGGAGATTCTAGCTGCTGGAAATAAATGTACTCTGGGATTTGATTTCATGAAAGTGATAAGGAGATCCTAAGGGATATAGGTACAGCAAAGACAGTGTCCTTCAAATAGAAAAAAATTGTTTAAGAATTTCCAATCTAGTCCAATTCTTTCATTTTGAAAAAAGCCCTTCTAAAATGAGGTACTTTTCAATAGTTACAGAATTAATGACTATAATTTTTAGGACCAGATTTGAAGTCTTCCAACTACTCATCCAAAAAAGTGTATATATTTCCATTTTTAAAGATTCAAATGTAAAATACTCTCTTAGATAAAAATAAATGGAGAATAAAAAAGTGAATAAATCGCTATCTTTGTTTCACCAATTCTGTAGCAAAGTTGTATATATACAAAAATATATATATGCATATACAATGAGGACTATGATAATCACAGAGAAGGGATTCTAATTACATTAGCAGGGATACATTTTTAGAAAGACTCACACCAGAGAATAATCACTTACAGTTGAAGGACTCCAGGAAGATTTTGTTGGGATTTTTTGGGAAAGGTATGTCTTGAGTGTTTTTTCTTGTTAAAATCAAATACATTATTTCATTCAGATCTATTTAAATTAATAATCGCTATATTAAAAACATGCTAATAAACACTGGGTAGTTGGTAATAAATAAAACAGACAAAGCCTATTTTCATCCTCTATAATTCTGTTTAGGTAAAGACTGAGAATAACTAGGAAAAAAATCAAGATGGTGTTGAGTACTAACAAGGTAGGGATGGATGAAAAGAAACAAAGAAAGGAAACACTGAAAGGAAACACTGAAACTACCTTAAATGCAGCAGTTAGAGAATACCACTGTGAAGTTTGAATTGGAACTTGAGGATGAAAAGGTCACAATTTAAAGTGGGAAACATTCAGGAGAAGAGAAATACAAGCAAAAGCAATAAGTCAAGTTGCTTTTGACAAATATCTGAGATCAGTTTAGAGAGATCAGAAAGACATGGGACAGCACAAGGAATTTTTAAAGATAAGTGTGATATTATTTATGTGTGTATGTGGGTACCTGCTACCAACAACTGAATTTAAAATTTATAAAATAATACCATTTACATCAATTCACCCCAAAATGCATAGATGTGTATAAACAAAACAAAATATGTATGTAAATTTCATGATTTCATCTTTTCTAACAGCTGCATAGTACTCCATTGTATAGATGTACCAAACTTTCTTTAACCGGTCATCTGTTCTCAGGCACTCGGGTTTTTTTCCAGATTTTGGCTACCGTGAACAGTGCAGCAATGAACATAGAAGTGCAGATGTCATTTCAACTGTACTTTTTTGCCTCTCTGGCAAAAAAGTGGTATTGCTGGTTCAAATGGGAGCTCAATTTCTAATTTTTTGAGAATGGTCCATACTGTTTTCCAAAAGGGCTGAACCACTTGGCATTCCCACCAGCAGTGAAGGAGGGTCCCTTTCTTGCCACATCCACGCCAAC